ACATTTGTTATTTCCAGTGTTTTTGATTCGTGCCAGTAATGCTGGGGTGAGATGGTATCTCACTGTAGTTTTGATTTGCATTTCTCTAATGGCTAGTGATCATGAGCATTTCCTCATGTGTCTGTTGGCCACTTGAATGTCTTCTTTGATGAAGTGTCTGTTGATTTCCTTTGCCCATTTTTTAACAGGACAGGCCCAATTCTTTGATAATGCCCAGAACTAGGTGAAACTTGTTCTGGGAGTGTCTCAGTTATCTAGTGCTGCTGTAACGGAAATACCACAAGCAGGTGGCTTTAACAAACAGAAATTTATTTTCTCACAGTTTAGCAGGCTAGAAGTCTAAGTTCAGAGCGCCGGCTCTAGGGGGAGGCTTTCTCTCTGTGTCAGCTCTGGAGCAAGGTCCTTGTCTCTTCTGAGCTTCTGCTTCTAGGCAGTCTTCACGTGACTTGACATTTGTCTTCCCCCATCTCTGCTTCCTAGCTTGCTTGTTTAATCTCTTTTATATTTCAAAAGAGATTGACGTAAGATACAAAAACAAACAAACCCACTGCCATCAAGTTGATGCATAGCGACCCCATAGAGTTTCCAAGGGTATAAATCTTTACGGAAGCAGACTGCCATATCTTTCTCCCCTGGAGCCACTGGTGGTTTCGCACTGCTGACCTTTCCATTAGCGGTCAAGCGCTTTAACCATTGTGCCACCAGGGACACTCTACACTAATCCTGCATCATTAACATAACAAAGACAACCCATTCCCAAGTGGGGTTATAACCATAGGCATAGAGGTTCGGATTTACAACATGTATTTTTAGGGAACACAATTCAACCCGTAACAAGGAGTTCTTTGTGATTTTTACTATGCTCTTTCATTCTAATAAGATGTAAATTCTCCCTCCTTGGTCTTCCCCTGCTTCTTTTCCTGTCTTTTTCTTACCTTAATTGAGTTAATCAATCAAAAATATTTATTGATCTTCTGCCACGTAGAGGTAGTTTTCTAGTAGCTGTGGAGGGTGCAAGGAAGTACGGCACAGGTCCCACCATTAGTGGAGATGACATAGAAAAAAGAAATACGATGTAAACGTTGACTAAGAATAAAAGAAGTTACTAGATGATATAGGATCGTCAAGTAAATGGCATAGGTAATATGCACTTGGAATTCAAAAAGTCAGGCAGAAACAATTTTGCTGAGCTGAGCCTTGAGGATAGTTAGGACTTAGTAGGGAAGAGAGAAGAGGACATGCCATGAGGATTGGTGGAGGCGGAAATATCTTTTACCATTTTTCTTTCCCTCGTTTTTCCTTCCTAAAGTTGAAAATAAAGAGGGTTTGGGGATAAAAATTATGATCAGAGTTATTTTACTCCAGTGTCACAAGAGAAAAAATTCTATTTTTCCTTCTTTACCATTGTTACAACAAACCTTTGATTATGAAATATGTATGGGTCTGAACTGTATCAGTTAGAATTAGGTTCAGCTTGTTTAACAGAAAAGCTTCAAACAGTAGTGGCTTATACAAAATAAAGATTTATTTGTCTATTGTGTAAAGTAGATCTGGAGGGAAGCTATCTAAGTATGGTCCAGTGGCTTCCTGGGCTTATCAAGTACTGAGACTCCTATCTTTCTCCTCCACCATCCTCAGCATGCAGCTTCATTCCTCATAGTTGCCTCATGGCTCAAGATAGCTGCTGGAGCTCCACCCAAAACATCTGGTTAGGATGATAAAGTGGGAAAGGACAAAAGAAGTCCCCTAGAAGCTAAGTCTTCTTTCTTTAAGCAGGATTCCTAGAATTCCCACACCGTACTTGCATTTATATTTTATTGTAGAACGTGGTCATCTGATCACATGTAGCCACTGGAGAGGTTGGGAAATATGGCCTGGGTGGCAGTGTACCAAGAGCTAAAATTGGATTTCTGTTAATAAGGAAGAAAAGGAGAATAGATATTTAGAGACAGGTAGCACTCTCTGCATATGGGCAGTATACAACAGTTATCAAGGGTTTGAAGGAAGAGATTAATCTCAGTTAGATGATATGGGAAAACTTCCAGGAGAATTTGGTGCTTGAGCTGGGCTTGGGAAGTGGACTTATTTCAGAGGAGGGAAAGTATATCAAAAAACCACTAGCCTCAGATTTCAATTC